AATCTAGCTTCCCCATTGACTCTGCAAAAGGTGATCACATGACCCTGGGAGACTGCACCTGCCATAAATATGAATCAGTTGCCAAATGTCTGAATTTTGATCATGTGGCCACAGGGATGCTGGTATGGTTGTGTGAAAAATGGTCATAAATCACTTTTTCAGTGCTGTTGTAACTTCGAACAGTTACTAAATGAACTGTTGTAATTTGAGGCCTATCTGTAATCTCATACTGCCTTTGTTGTGTGAAAAAAAATGATATAATTCTAAGTAAAAATACAATATTTCCTTTGTTAATGACATACTGTGGCAGGCCTATGCACACTTGGAACTGAGATTGAGGCATCCTTGATCAGATGGCCACGGAGATTAAAAATTAAGAACTATCTCACTTAATTTGGCATTGAACTGAAAACACAATCCTAGTATTCTGTTTCACTGCTAGATGTATTGTCAACTTACCATGCTTTCATCTGCTAATTCTAGTCATGTAGTGTCTCTTTAGTGTAAGTAGATGATGCTATGAGGAAGTTACATCATGGGTCTGATTAATTTAAGCCTTAACTCAGCTGTTGAATTCTCTTCCCTCCATCTTAGGCTCAGCGCAACAATGAGGATGTCTCGGAGATCAAACCTCTTTTTACAGTCAGTGTGGATCATCGGGTGAGTGCCACTTCTGTGGGTATGGGGCTGCTATAATAGGTGGTCAATGCAACTAACACAGACGTTCAATACTATAAACACATTTGGATAAATCAGGCCATTTATAGCATATGCTACTTTGTGATTGCAGTTTATGTATTATATGATGGTTTCTTTAGTTAGTTGAACAACTATCTCAATTTACAACCAGTCGCTTAGCTTATTTATGACCCAGTTACAAAGTTTCAACAGCTGCTATTCCACCCCCATGGTCACATAACCACTTTTCAGACACTCAGCAACAAGTCCGCATATACAGACATTTCCAATGTCATAGTCACATGATCATGATTGACCATATTTTTGCCAAAAGCTGGTATTTACTTCTGGTTTGGGTCAAAAATGCCCCTTTGCAAACAATGGGCTTAATGACTGCTGCAGAAAAGGTCATAAGATGGTCACAAGATGACCTGCTTTATGACTGCCACAGCTTATGATTGTAATGGACTACCTGTATGCTTGGATACTTGGATAATTGCTGCAAAAAAAGAGTTATAATGCTCCCAATTCCCAAGGAGGATAATATTCTTTGTACCACTTAGGATTTGATCTAGAGCAGTGGTTCTCAACCTTTCTAATGCCGTGACCCCATAATGCAGTTCCCCATGTTGTGGTGACCCCCAAGTGGGTGTGGCCACCAATAAGAGGGAGTAGGACAGCTAGAGAAAAGGGAAAAAAATGGCGGACAGCGTGGTTTGGCGACCCCTGTGAAATGGTCATTTGACCCCAAATGGGGTCCCGACCCACAGGTTGAGAACCACTGATCTAGAGATAGTTGAGATAAAAACTATATACACTATTAAAGTGGGGGGAATGTGATGTAACAGATACAGAAGGCCAGTTCATGATGAAAACTTAATATATTATTTCTAATTTAGCAGGGATTGTATGGATAGTTATAGTTAATGAGGTAGGGAAAGGATCTGTGTATCATTTAGTGCATGTTCCCAGAAGTCCAGCTTCTAATATTTCTAAACAGGTTGCATTCAGAATTGAGATTTAAAAAAGACACAGAAAAGATATAAAAAAGCTTTCTATATAAGCAAGCACAAAATGGCTGCCAGAGTTGATTGTATCTGTATATAAAATGGCTGCTATGATGGGCCACTTATACATCAGACATTTCATAGCGAACTAATGAAGCTGAAAAATTTCTCCCAGATGTGCATACTGCAAACACATATACTATACCTACCCAGAAAATTCCAGTGGTTTTCCCTGCTAGACTGCATTTGGGGCTTTATCTTTACTATTCTTTTAAAAAATCTTTACCATTTCAAAGTTTAGCCCTGTATCAGTAATTTCCTTTATAGTCTTTTGTTTTGCTAAGTAATGGAGAAAATATACAAAATGGAAAAAAGCTACAATTGCAGGGTTGATCTACTTAATTATTCCCCCCAGTTAGGCTAGTTTTATTATTTGATTGGGGTTTCTCACACTACAGACAGGCCATATCTAGGCGTAGTTCCTTATGTTTAGGTGATGTGTCCTGGTACAACTCACCTCCCTGCTGCTACAGTTTAGTTCCTTGTAGTCCAAACAAGTTAAAAATCATGGTACAGTACCCAGAAAATTCACTTCCACCATTTGTTATTTTTTCCTTTCACCATGCTGTTTATTCAATGTGTTTCTGTTCTTTCCACCTTCCATTTGCAGGGTGCCTGGAATGGACCATGGGTCTCCACTGAGGTATTGGCAGCATTCATTGGTATTCTGATATATTATATGGCATTCACTGCTAAGAGTAACATCCAAGCATAAAGCACTTCAATAAACTCTCTATACCAACTTCTCTGCTTTCTGCCTTTTCTTTAGAAGGCAAAGATGGCTGTCTTTGCCCCTTCAGAAATACCTGTGTGGTGTGTCAGAATCATTAATTCCCATGTCATGTTTTAGTTTGAAGTCGGTCAGAATTATAACAATGTTAGAACTTCTTATGGTTTGATCAAAGAGCATTTGCTGATCTTCTTGCCACCTTTCAAAGTAAATTTTTTGAGACTCAACTGTGCCTAAACAAAGAGCTGAAAAGACCCAATAAAGCAATTGCTTTCCATGGAGTTTGAATCCTGAAAAGAAGCAGAGGACACACACAAACCCTAAAGGTGCAGCATACTTTGCCAAGCTAACATTTTGAATTGTGGCTGGCTTAATATTGGGGGTTGGCTGTGGTGGCTGATTAGCTGAACCGTTTCTGAGTTAAGATCCATTTTCCTTTGCTTTAATCCCATTAAGCAATGCATCTCTGGGTGCAGTCATAATTATTCTACAGCTCATTATCTAATGACTACAGCTCCTGGTATGAGCCACTGCAGCAAGGGTGGGATTACCTCATTGCTCTAAAATTGTATTCATGCCAGATTATAAAGGGGAAAGCAGTTACATAGAAAGTATGGGTATCCTTATATTTGTAACATTTGCTACTTCTGCAGCCCAGCAAGATTTTTAGCTGCTGCAATCTGCGTATGAACCAGTGTGGAAGTCAAATTCAGTTTTACAGACTATTGAGTAAACTAAAGGTATATTAAATGTTTCAAATTTTTCAGGAAAAAATCATGATGGAACCTGCTACTAATTGTAGACTGTTTCTTTCTCTGTCTGCCTCCTCTAATATAGGTAGTCCTTGTTTAGCAACCACAGCTAGGACCAACAACTTGGTTGCTAAGTGGTCACTAAGTGAATAGTCATGTGTTTGCATTTATGATGTTCAGCTTTTCTTTGGTTTTCACAACTGCAAAGGTTGTAAATGTGGTCATTGGTCACAAAGTTACTTTTTCACTACAATTGTAACTGCAAACAATTGCTGCTGAGGCAGATACTAAGCAAGGACTTCCTGTAAATGGAACATGCAATGGATTCCCTTTTAACATAGAAATAAATTCAAAGAAGGGTGATAGGGCTACATGCATAAGAGAGTCTGATTGGTGCTTCCTGTAAGTTAGAAGTACGTTTGCATCCTAACCAGTTTCTATTCCTTCTACTGGGGTGTCACCTGGAGTGAGTGGCACAAGCCCTGAAGTGTGTAATTGCTGATTTGAATTGTAGCTCATTGCCACTCTTAAAGTGGAATGGAAGTTAGCATGCTGGGCTCAGCTTTGCTTTTCTGTGGTATTACAAGGCAAGTTTTTATTTTTAAAAAAATCTCTATTAAATGGTAGCTTAAATTGGTAAGGGTTTTTTTCCCCACAAAAAGCTCTGAGAATTGTGATGCAGTACTCTTTTCTATATGTAAATTTAATTTAATTTGTAAATTTAAAGGTTGCTTGTTTCATATTAAATAATTTCTCAACCTATTTTATTTAATAAAGCATTATTATGAGACTCCTACTCATAATGCTTTATTAAATAAAATGGGTTGAGAAATTACTTAATGTGAGGCACGCAACCTTTTGGTGGCTTGAGAATCACAATGTGTTTTGGGTGGACATTGCTGGTAATGATATTAAGTAGGCAAGGTCAAGACACCTATGGAAGAGACTTAAGATTTCCCATATTTTCCTGTTTTTGATGGGGAAGAGAGCTTGCAACTGGGACGCTCCAGGTTGCTCAACCTGATAAAGTGCAATAGGTAAGCCTAGTCATTGGCTGGATTCACATTGTAGCCTAATAATGTAAACTCCCAATTGTTGGGATTAGTTTGTGAGTCAGCGAGTCATGTAAACTTGGAAAACTGGATTAATTCTATAAATAGTGCTTCAGTTAACTAAGCTTGCCATACAAGTTAACTTCTGTATACTGTGAACTTTCACCCCTTTCCACTCCTATTGCTTTTATGGTACCATCTGTCTTCCCACAAACGCCCATTGGCAACATCAGCTTTCCATGTACGTGCTTATTATATTACAAAGATGTTCTACAGCAGTGGTTCCTAACCTTTTTAATGCCGCGACCCCTAACCAGTTATAAGTCGAGGACTACTCAACTGGTGCAGCACCGTTTGCAGAATGGGACTTTTGGCGGGCTCAGTAGGGCAGAGATAGCCTGGCCAATTCCTATTGGCTTTTGAAAGCCAATAGAATTAGACTCTATTCAAGAGAGTCTATTCTATTGGCTTTCAAAAGCCAATGGAATAAAAGGGAGTAGCACAGCTAAGGAAAAGGGGAAAAAATGGCGGACTGCGTTGTTTGGCGACCCCTGTGAAATGGTCATTCGACCCCCAAATGGGGTCCCGACCCACAGGTTGAGAACCACTGTTCTACAGCATGAACAGCTTTACTAATTTTAGGTAGCCAGCACCAGTTTCAAAAATATTTATGCTGCTAACTTGTGTAACTTGGTTTCAATGAATAAAAACATTTTTTTAATTTTTTTTATTGTAACAATGCAATTTCAGCCTCAGGTACAAGGTTTGCTACAAGCTTTCCATTGCAAAACCTCCCTATGCTAAGCTACTGCCTCTTCCTGAGCTGGGAGGGAAGGGCAGTGACATGGTAAAAAATGCAGGAAGGGAGCTCTTGGTCACTTGTGGATTGAGCCTCCAGGGCCTGGACCTCCATCCTGGGAGAAATTAAAAAAATGTAAAACCACAATCACAAAAGAGGAAAGAGAAAGAAGAAAGATGTCACAACATCCCAATTTGGGAAGACAGGAAAGGTTCATTGGTCCTGTTGGTGGGGTTGAGCCTCCTTTTCTTGTGCTCTGCACATTGTCTATAGATGAGAATTGGTTCTTTGTGCTTCAGGATGGGATTGGCATGGACCAAGCTGGCAGAAGCTTTCCCATAAGTAAAAGGGGACCACAGACTTGTACAATTGCCTTCAATATAGATAGTGCACACATCAGGAAAACAGACTTTACTCTCTAGCAGGCTCCCGACAGTAGCACGCTTGGTGGCCTATTTTGGCCCCTGGTCCTTAAGGCAGGAAAGGATGCTGGGCTTGTCACACTCTAAATTTGGTTTAGAGAGGAGGGCTATTTGAGCCCATGGAGTACAATAGTAAAAGGTCCCAAGTATGTTCAAAGAGCAATTGTCCTATTAATCAAGGAGGAAACAGCTGTATTTATTCTCCTTTCTCCAGTCTGGCCAGGAGACAATGGTGCAGCTTCCCTCCAGTGTTCTTTCCCACACTCACACAGTAGTGACAGAGAGCAGCGGGTTGTAAACTCTGCGGCCATCTGCTGAGCGAGTGCCATGAGCCAACATTTCTTGGATGGTAATCCAGTTGTCCAAGATGCGTCGGCTCCGTTTCTTCATGGTTTTACGATGGCTCAGTGCCAAGATGTTGACCTCACCAGAAATCCCTCGAGCTTCACTTCCTTCCCTTTCTCTCAAGCACTCCAGCCGGCTCTGCATCATAAACTCACGGCGTTTCCGTTGCTCACGAGCTCGAATCAAGTGCTGCTTCCGTTCCTCCTTGCTCCAGTAACGTCCCATCTTCATCTCACTGACCGCATCATCATCCGTCGTCATGCCGCTGCGTTCCTCACGGATCTTCATGGCCCTGGCTTTGAGCAGCCGGTCCCTCACTGGTCTCTTGGCCACGTAGCGAGTGCCATCACTACGAACTTTCACTTTCCACTCCATGCGGGGTTCTGCTTTGCTCCCAAGTGAGTCCTTGCAAATGCTGGCTAAGCTCATAGGGCTGATGGGAGCAGGTAGCTCTTCCCGCTGACGTCGACTCAAATAAGGGCTGCTTTCCCCAGTTGCCTTGGGGCTGCGCCGCACCCGCTCTTCCCGGCGGAACTTAGGGTGTGGTGGGGAAGGGGGAGCTGTGCGGTTGAGATTGGGGCTCTCAGCCAAGCGACGCAAGGGGCTTTCCAACAAGGGGGTGCTTCGGCAACTTTCTCCAGTGTTGTAGGCACTCGTGCTGTCCTTATCTGAGCGTTCTGGCAGTTCAGTGATGTCTGACAGTTCGTGTTTCTTAGGCTCCCCTTCCAAGGTGTACAGCCCTTCCTCCTCAAGCAGCCAGGCCTTCATGCAGCGCTCGCGGAGCTGTTGCATCTTCTGTGCTCGCAAGATGTTGCGGCACTTAAATTCCAGGTGGCGAAGCTCTTCCTCTAGCAGAGCCACCTCGTTGCGGTTGACATCCAGGGCAGCGCTCACTAGCCCTGGTTCATTGCCATTCTCCAGATGACACTTGAGCTCCAGCAGCTCCCGGTAACGTTCGTATTCTTCATCGGTAAGTCCTGGCATCAGGTCTGTGCCCACAGCACTAGGAAGCTCCCCTGCCAGGAGGGAGTCCATGCTATAATGGAAGTCCCGAGGCTGGAGGCTAGGCCCAAATTTGCGCAGGCTGCCTGGCGTGTTGGCAGCACTGGGTGCTTCATCTCCTAGCAGGTCATGTTCAGAGCTCTCCTCGTTACGAGTACTCTCATCAGTCCGGCCAACTCCACTGTCCAGCTCCTGGCTGTTAGTCAGAGGTGTGGCTGCATCCCCAGAAGGCTTTTCTTGTAGTGGTTCCTCCTAAGGAAAAGAGGGAGAGAGTACCATTCAGGGAAAGCTGCTCTAGATTTTGGCCCTGTCTGACTCTTGTGTGCCAGCCTTAGACCCTTGCAGCTAAACTCTTAGATTTGAATTTGGCGAAGACTGTTGTACATTCCTATGTAACTGGAAAATGGATGAAAGATTTAACTTCCTTTACCAAGATATGGACAGCTACAAAAGCATTGCCATTGTTTTCTCCGTATTCATCTCATCTCTCGACTACAAAGGCTTCTCTGGTCCCTTTCATCTCAGAGCAAAAAGAGATGAATGACAAAAACAGTCCATTAGAGAAGTCTCTGGCTGAAATTAATGCAGCTCTGGGCCCATTTTAGGCTTCCACAATCTATTTTGCATTTAGTTAAGTCAGATGGGAAATTGTGCTTTGGGAGATAATCAATTCCCCTACTGCATTCTTTGATCTATAAACTGAGGTGACCTTACATACACAAAATCCCATACACATCTATCCTTACAATCTAAATATTACTGTATACAAGTGGGCATACAGGGGGCAGTTACAAATATCATGGCAGCTGTACATATTCACAAACAACCTGGAGTCAGGTTTTCTTGTCAGCCAACTACAAATCGTCCAACAGTCTGCCGGATGATCTCAACCTCCTTTTTGGTGTACCAATTAAAGGCCAAACAAGTGGAAGTGAGCAGAATTGATGACGCTCCTGGCCCTTTACATAAATTGAAAAAGGGGATTCCAAATTCCTATGGAAAAGATATGCAGCTAGCTTTGCCCCTGTGGAGGCAAGGGAGCAGAACCTTACTGTAAACCAGTGAAATGGGAACTGGAAGCAAATGGAAGCAGATGCACATAATCTGCCTGAATGATTGGATTAATTCAAATCAGTAGCAGGAAAGTCTAAAATTTAGTGATATTCTTTGCATACATAAGAACCAAGGTTTAGGGCCAGGCCCTGTTGTTTCAGGCTGTGCTGGGAAAGAACCTTTGGGGGAAGGGGGGGGGGCTAGATTTACTGCTGCTAATCAAGCCAGACAACGTCAGTTTAAACCAATGTTTCCCAAACTTGACAATTTTAAGGCATGTGGACTTCAACTCCCAGAATTCCACAGCCAGCATTGCTGGCTGTGGAATTCTGGGAGTTGAAGTCCACATGCCTTAAAATTGTCAAGTTTGGGAAACACTGGTTTAAAAGATCAGCAGAGTGGCTTAGCATTCGGACAGCTATTGGGAGCAATCTCATTCTCTACTTGGGATTCTTTAAATGTTCTTCCATGGAACAGCCCCATTAGAAACTCTCCTGTCTTGCAGTAGAAAGTACCAGTGTGAGCCATGCAAAGTGTACTACTTAGTAGCAAAAGCTTCAGCCTGTTCTGCAGAACAACTACTTAACTTCCACTTCTAAACCACGTACCTGCTGGCCTGGGGGAGAAAGCAGCCGTTGCGGTTTTATTCCAGCTTCATGGTCAGATCCAAAGTCATCTAAGAAATCCTCACGGTCGCTGTCCTTCCAGCGTTTGGACAGCTGGAACAGTGAATAGAGTCAGAATGAAAAAGGCCTGGAACTCCAGCTTCTGTTTTCCATCCCAGGTTCTTTCTAGGTGCCCAATCTTCATCAGCTTCATTATTTTCTATTAGCCTGTACTCTAGTAGCTACTAACGCGGAACAACCAATATAGAAACATATTTTACCCAAACTTGTCTGATGCATTTGCCCTCTAAGCTCATTTCATTTAAGTAATTGTGAAATTCACTTATTAAAGGGGTTTTTTTTCCTCTTCAAATCAGGCAAGTACTATAATTCACACTAAGAATAAAACCAAAGGTTTTCTTGTCAAATGCACTTTCCAAAAACAGCATCAGTACAATTGAAATCTAAATTCAAATCCTTTTATTATTTGCATTTAGGCCCCATGAACCAAAACGTGGGTAGGCAAGATCGTACTTGGGCTTTGAGTGGTGTGCTGTTGATTGTTCTCCAAACGTGTAAAGGGCAGGACATATAAATGAGGTTGGTCTAGGTCAAAGGATAAATATTTCATTTAAGTGCAATTAATTATTTGCAATAAATAATTAAATAAAAGAAACAGTCCCCTCTTGTCAGTCAATAAAGAGTGCTGATTTACCACCAGCCTATCAAGTACTTAGAAGGTGAAGACTGGGCAGCACAAGCAAAGGACAGCTAATGACTTAAATGCCAGCCATCAACATACCCCAATCAACATCTAAAAACCTACTTACAACAGGCACTATAAATACCACACACAGAACAGCACACACTCTGCTACAGAGAGGTTCCCTGAAGATGGGCTCCAGCACCAGTCCGAAAGCTCGGAAGACAGAAACTCTGGTCCCGGTGACCGATCCAGATTGGATCCTGCAACATTATCCCAGGACACGTATATTCGCCTTTGTTCGTATTTGCAATTAATCTGCTAGCTCCCCAACTATTCAATCATTTCCCCGTGGTTTGTCATCATTTTCATAAATACCGTACATTTTGAAGAATTTGCATGTAACAAGCTGTCTTGCCAAATTAGCTTTTTCTCACTTTGTCGTTAGACAACTTGTTTAGCGGATTATTGAAACAGGGATAAGTGGTATTTCTTGCTTTCAGCAAAACATTTGATGAACTGTCCAATGGGATTCTGATGACCAAATCAATGAAGTGTGCACTGGATGGCATGACAGATAAATGGGCATGTTGCTGGTTTTAGAATGGTTTCTCATCAAAAGAGATCAGGAGATTACCCATATATACTCCCAACAACAGGTTTTTTGTGAGTAAATGGCAGAATCCAACTCTTTTGCAGCCCCTTGGAATCAGCTGGGAGTCACAGTTTTCATCATGCTCTATAAATGCAGCCTTTCACGGACTCGAGGCTCAATTAAATCTATTTTTTAAAATCACTTTGGAGGTGTTTTTTCCCCCTTGATTGTTTCATATAGATTGAAAAATCTTTGGAACTCCAAGTTTGCCTGTCACTGGGTAATTTCTATTCAATCCTTTTAAAAAGAAAAAAAAATGTGTTTCCAGCTTTGTAAGATCTTTAGTTTTTGCTGTTTTTTGCAATACACAGGAAAGGGGTGACTATCAAGTTGGTTTTGGAAGGTTTTTAAATGCTAAAACTTTGGAGGAAATTGATTTAAAGAAAGGCTGAAGTTAATTAGAAAGCTTTTATGGCGTGGGAAACAAATTGTCTTGTTTAAATTTCAAACTGAATACAAGATTGAAGGTTGATTAATAGAGAGCAGAAGATGGCTGCTTTAAAGGAAATGTTTGTTCTGCAGATTCAAGATGTACTTGAGTTTTTAAACTATACTGGGACCAAAAGTTATTGCAGAAGGCAAACAAGTTCCTTTGAAGATAATCAAACTGGACCTTAAGGTGGACTTAAAATTATAAAAATAAAAAAGAGATGGAAATATTAGATTTACGAATGTAATTGGATGATCATTTAAGAATTTTAAAAAATATATAAATAATATATCAAAAGAGTGATCTGTTTTAAATTAAAATATATGAGACCTACTGGTATTATAATATGAAAATTATAAATGGATAAAGGTGACAAGAATTTCAAGATACAAGATAAAGATAGAAAAAAACAATTTTATCTATGGGCAGAAGGAAGAAGAAATAATATAAAGAAATTGGTTTATTTGAATATAAATAAATGAATTGCCATCTCTGGTGATGCTTAATAGTTATCTTAATTGGATAGGGGTTTTTTTGGGGGGGAGGAATGCTTTCCTGGGTGTAATAGATTGGTTTGCAATATCTACATTATTTTTATATTTAAATAAGGGGTTACCATTTCTGATGTTAAATAATTTTTAATTTTTTGCAATTTTTTGTTAGTTGGGATTAGATTTTGATTATTAAAGAGAAGGATGAGGGGGGTTAAATTAAATGGAAAAGGGAGTTACATAATGTTTTAGGTTTTTCTGTTAATTTTTCCTGGTTCATTTCTGAAGATTTACAGATGAGGAAATAGAAAATAGGGTGAGATATGAAATGAAGATGTATTTGGCTGTATTTTAAGAGACAGCTATAAGTCGTTAATGTTGAATATATTTGCTATTAATGAAGGAGGAAGTTATTGTTTTTTACTTTCCAGGGGATTTTTTTTCCTACACTTTTTAATATTTTTCCTGTTTCTTTTCATAAATATATTTTTGTCTTAGGTTCTTATATCACATTTGTCTGTTTAATGTAATTCTTAATACCACTGAAAAAAATTAGAATCATGTACGTGCAATATTAAGGATATGCAAGCTGTTTTACTGATGGAAGCCCCTTCGTAAGAATGTCTGATAGCTATAATATTTATATGTTGTATTATAAATATATTTTAAAAATAAATACTATTTCTAAGATGAATTGTTCATTAGCTCATGTGCCAAACATGTTTCCGGCAATTTGACAAAGGTGTATCAAAATTCATTAAAATGATTGGGGACAGGAGAAAAAGTGAATTGCAGGAGAAATGTGAATTGCAGAAGCAAGTCCAGGATTGAGGGGAATAGGAAGGATTCCCTTTCACTTCTTCTGTGCAGATCCCACCCACCCATCTTCCACTTATCATTATAAAATAAGCACAGATTTGGGGAACTCTGCCACTCTTGTTTTCAGTTCAAATCAACAAAAATGAAATCTCCTTTCCCCCAGTGTTTCATAGAAGTAAACAAATGGGAAGGTGTGCAAGAACTGTTTTCTTTCCTCACCATACTCTGTTGAGCTCTTTAACTCACGTATACCACCCTGTATCACATAGTTGTGGGGACAGCCACAACTATGAGGATCTGTTGTGAGTACCCTTCATTCAGCAGCATTGTTACTTCAAATAATTGCTGAATGAAAGGATATTAAGGGAGGACTATCTGTGTTCTGGCTCCCCTGTGTATACACTACACGTATTCTCCAGCTGAATTACAAACCAGCTCCCCTACTTCCCATTTTCTTTTAGCCATGAACAATTCCCACCTCAGTCTCGGGCCTAGCCAGCAGCAGAGAAATGTTTGTTCGCTCCTCCTGGGTAAGAATTGCTACAGCCTCCTCTCGGTTTTGCACCTCCATTCCATTAATCTAAAAGTAAATGTATGGAAAAACAAGTTGATGGCTAATGGTATATCAAATTAAATGAATAAATCAATAAAAGAGTACAGCCAGTTTTCCCAAACTGGATCTTCTCCTTTTAACTTGGATTATGATCTGCATCATTTCAAGCTTACAAGCCAATGTTGTGCTGACTGACTATGATGGGAGTTATAGTTTACTATGAGTTGGCGGGGGCTATATTAAACTGTCCTTTTTAAAAATCCACAGCACCCTCCCTCCTAATTACTTCCCTTAATGTTCACCTGGACAATGCGATCACCTTCTCGAATTCGTCCATCCTTGGCTGCAATGCTATTAGGACTGACCTAATAGAAGAGAAATGACATTAAGATAACTGTTAGGGCTTTTTGCTTCCTGTGGGGTTGGTAACTACGAGAACTGAGTAACCTGGAATTTGTGCTGGATAGCCAGTAGCCATTCATGTGTTACTGAAATATAGTGTAAATGTAACTTTTCACTATGGACCATGTCTAGAAACCATCTAGAGGCCTATAGGTAGTAATCCCCATTTTAAGTGCTGAGCAAAGAACAAAGGACCTCCCCCCCTCCACCTCTAGTACACATCCCAACATAGCCAAGTGCCCTGTTTTACAAAAGATAATGTGCCTGAAAGTACATCTGTCTTTTATCTGTAACTTTTTCTTTCCAGAACAGGTCAAAAGATAAAGGAATCATAAACACAGAGAGCGGGGTCTTGACATTATCCATGCACAGTTAATAACTAGACTGACCAGGCACACAGTTTAGATGTTCACAGAGTTTCCTGCACTAAATGTGCAATGATACATGCTCTGGATAGTTCCAGATGGAGAAATGGCAGATTAACACACCTTCATATTATGGGGACAATCTGAGGCAGAGACTGCCAGCTAAACAGTGAGGCCAGACCTAGGGAGTTTTTGTGGGAAAAAAAAAAAAAAAAAAGCTGTGAGAATGCCCACTTGTGCTCCAGATCAAGCTCAGAGTCCCAAGTGGAGCCTGCTAAAGGACACTGACTTCATCAACTCTACTTTCTAGAGCCCATTAGAGTGGGGGGGGGGAATGAAATGTTATAGAGATCTTGAAACCAGCAGAATACATAAACTACCTGGTGAATGTACTTCCAACCCAAAGAGTAAAGTAAAAAGTAAACAAATAATTATATGGAATTTAAAATAATAACAAAATGTTTGCCATGAGTGCTAACTAAGAAAGTTTAAAATGGATTAAGGGAATAGCTGAATTTGGAATATTATTTGTTAAAATACTTTTGAACTAATTAAATAAATAATACCTCCATGGAAAGGAGGATTGTTTAAATTTGTTAAGAAGGATAATAGGTTGATTTTGTTAAATAAAGGTGACATCTGCAGGCAAAATGGCTACCCGTTGGACTTTGTTAGACGATACAGCAGACCGTAAGAGCCAGCATACAGACATGCTCATGGCATGGGCAACACTGCCATATATTAATGGCGTGTCCGAGGCAACGGCGCGGATACTAGCTCCATATAATGTCAGTATTGCCCATAGACCAGATCAAACCTTACATACCAAGATAATGCATCCCAAAGAGCTGCTCCCCAATGAAGAAAGATCTTCGGTGATATACAGAATGAGATGCAAAGACTGTCACTGTAACTATGTTGGAGAGACGACCAAGCAGCTCAGAACCAGGATCCATGAACACAAGCTGGCCGTTAGATGGCAGGAACAGCGTTCACAGATATGGGCACACATGGCCAGCTACAATCATACATTTGAACTTGCAGGGGCGGAGACCATTGCTCAGGATGCCACCAAGGGTGGCCGACTGCTTAAGGAGGCTTGGCTGTCTGACGGGCACTCGATCAATCGCCATATAGATTTATTGCCTGCCTATCAGACACTAAGAAGGTGGGAAGAACAACGTAACAACTCACAATGAGTGCAACGAGCACCGTCAGTGCGGGATCAGAATTGCTGGCCCATGTGGCAACAAGAAACTACAACCATTGAAGGGGAGAAATCCCAAGTGCATCCTGCACAAGAACTGAAGATGGGAGCTCGGGCACGTATACAGCAACATGGGGAGGTGGCCATAGGACAAGAGGCGTTAGAGGACCAGCCCACAGCAACGGGTATTCGGACACGAATGAGGCAGGCAAAGAGGGTGACAATGAGAGAGGCGATGATTCCCAAGCCTAGGAGCACACGGACAGATGCGAGACTACTAGAAACAATGCGGCCAATTGGAGCGGGGGGATAGGTGACTCGCTCAATGAGCAGAGCGCAAAAACAGCTGGCCTTATAAGCAAGCCTCCGAATCTCCGGCATTTTACTCGGATGACGTTGGTGCCCTCAGAGCAGAAGCTATTTACTACCATTGCAGATTGGGCCAATGGTATCTGGGCTCAATGCTTATTTGGCCAGGAAGCCTACCTTGGGATGGTCAGCACCTCTTGCCCTAAACCAGGGCTCTTCAAACTTGGCCCTTTTATGACTTGTGGATTTCAACTCCCATAATTCCTCAGCCAGCCCTAAACTATCCCTCCAAGCTGTGAGGATCAAAATATGCTCATCATGGATGTGGTAGGACAGTGTTAATAAATAAGTGACTTGAAGATAAATGTCTTGCAAATCCAATCTCTACCTTAAAGATATGTTTATATCAGCTGCAACTGATGGAGGAAACAAAAAAAATCCACAGTGCACTAGAAATGCTACTGTGGTACTTCAGAGAGTATTGATTTTTTTATTGATTTATGGTCCTTTTACACTGAGACTGCTGGCATGGAATGCTACAAATTGAATAGCTGTTGCATTTTAATAAAAATGTTCCTGGATCTTGATTTGTGGTAAAACTAGAGATAACATTTAAAACCATAATATTGTGATTTTTTTTTTTAAAAAAAGATTGCAAATAACAACTGCACGGGACTATCCATGATGGTCCCATAAAGAATAGAAAAAGCAAGCCATAATCCCAAAGAAAATCACCGCCATAGCTGAACTAATTAATCTGGGTTGCATTATTCAGAATGACCATTAGATGACAGCAAAGGGTTACAATGATCTGCATCTCTTTTTTGCCATCTAGTGATCACCTGGAGTTTTGTAGCTCTTTAGGGTTTAGTAGTTCTAAATAGTCATGAAATTGCTTAAGAAGGAAGCCTCTACAGAATTTTCACAATCCTCTTTCCTCAATGAAAATAGTCTAGAACAGCAGTTCTCAACCTGTGGGTCGGGACCCCATTTGGGGTCGAACGACCATTTCACGGGGGTCGCCAAACAACGCAGTCCGCCATTTTTTCCCCCTTTTCCTTAGCTGTGCTACTCCCTTTTATTCTATTGGCTTTTGAAAGCCAATAGAATAGACTCTTTTGAGTAGAGTCTAATTCTATTGGCTTTCAAAAGCCAATAGGAATTGTCCAGGCTGTCTCTGCCCTGCTGAGCCCACCAAAAGTCCCATTCTGCAAACGATGCTGCAAGTTGTCTGCAGCGAAGGCGAGCTGTCTGGAAGTTTCCACCCCTCCCTGCTGAGCAACTACTAAAAATGTAAGTAAAAGAGGGCCAGAGGTGGGAGATGGGAGGCCGGCGGGCGCAGGGAGGGTTGCTGGCATGCGTAGGGCCTGGCAGGTGCCTTATCTCCCTTGGGCTGGGCCAGTTGGTGGCCCAGCCGGTAGTTGGCCTGCACCATGTCTGCTGCTTGCCAGCTACGCCTCGGCCGGCACAGGGGGCGGCACCATGCATGCGCGGTGCTCCCGGGCAGGGAAAGTCCTCAACTTACGACCAGTTGGGTAGTCCTCGACTTATGACCGGTTGGGTAGTCCTCGACTTACGACTGGTTCGGGGTCACGGCATTAAAAAGGTTGAGAACCACTGGTCTAGAAGATTTCCTCCTAACTTCAATTTCAAGTCTGAGCTTCTGCTGTCTCCAGTAGTAACCACCTTCATACACAAACACACACGGAACATATTCCTACACAAAATGAATACTTCTATCTGTTGAAGCAAGAGTACAAAATCAGGAACTCTTGTCAGTTCTCTCCCAATTCATATACATTGAATCCCCACATGTAGATCTCTCATTGCCCCATTTAACCTAACCTACTACACCTCTTTAAACACTGCCCCTGACCCCACCTCTCCAACGTAGATGCCTACATCGTCCTCGTCGTCAGTTCGATAACAAACCATCAGGCCCAACTTATCCCGGTGACTGGATTTGTACAGCTCCACCTCCTGTAAGACAGAGAGAAACAACACACAAAGATCATCTGGTGAAGCAATCTATCTGCCTCTCTTAGACGCTCTGGGACAGAAGATTCTTCTTGTAAGAACTTAGTCCGATTCTCAATACTTCATGCAGTCAGCTGACTAGAAGGTCCAGATCTCATTGAATTGGCCCTGTTTGGCTGTCTTTCCTCCATATATACTCAAAAAATCAAAGTTAGGTCTTTTACAGGCGTTATTTCTCTTTAAAATCTCACCCAACCATAAGACAGAAATACGGTAAGTGGGCGATTCATAACTTGTAAGCTGCCTGCAGCCCTCTAAACTCCCAGAGAATTCTCCAGTTTTGCTGCCAGAGGTTGGTGATATGCTTATCTGGCATCTCTGCAATAAACATACTGCAAAGAAGGAGCATCCAAACAACTAAAAGACTTCTTGCATCTACTAGGTAGCCTTTGACTTATGATTACAAAGGGGACCAGAATTTTCATTCCTAAACAAAGCGGTTGTTAAGTGAGTCATGCCCGATTTTACGACATTTTTGGCCATGGTTGTTAGCAAATCGTTACAGTTGTGAAGTGAATCATGTCGTCATTAAGTTGAATCCCGCTTCCGCCATTGATTTTGCTCATTGGAAACTGGCTGGGAAGGTGATGGTGATCCCATGCCCCTGGGACGCTGCAATCATCCTAAATCAGGGGTCCTCAAACTTGGCCACTTTAAGACCTGTGGACTTCAACTCCCAGAATGGCTGGGAGTTGAAGTCCACAAGTCTTAAAGTGGCCAAGTTTGAGGACCCCTGTCCTAAATAAATGTTGGTTGCCAAGCATTCAAATTTTGATCAAGTGACCATGGGGAAACTGCAAGGGTCATGAGTGTGAGGGAAGGCTGTAAGTCATTTTTTCAGTGCCATTGTAACTTTGGACGGTCACTAAATGAATGGTTACAAAAGTACCTGTATTTTGCTTTTTTTTAAAAAAAAAAATCCAAAATGCAAGGGTGTCTCTTTTTCTAGCTCTTCTCTTATTATATATCTTTGAATTCAAAATAATTTTAAAAAATGTGGACTTTCCAGCCACTCCCTTCCAGTGACTTAGATATGCCTAAATTAGGTCACACAAGCATACTTAGCACTTGATGGTTGTGATCTCAGCTGAGCATTTACGAATGAATGTGTGAATAACGAACCCCCCACCTTTGTGTCACTTCTGAGGCAATAACTAAGTACCAGTGTTACATGCGGAAATTAGATTAAGAGATTAAATTTCTGTCGTATTTCTCATTTTTAATCAAACATAGGGGTTGCTAAAAGAACACAGTAATCATTAAGTGAACTCATTTTCACCAATGGGTGTTTTTTGCCGGAATTAGAAATTAACACCAAAATCAGCAAAACCTGCCAAAAATCGCAGTCACATGACTCCAGAACATTGCAAATGGCCATGAATATGAGCCAGTTGCCAAGGGCGCAACATGTGGTCACATGAACATTGTGTGTGTGTAGCCACTGGAACTTCAAAAACAGGCCTTAACTAGCTCTGGGGAAGTCCATCATGAATCTGAATGGTTGCTAAGCAATCGGTTGTTATGTGAGGACTACCCATAAGGAGGATTTGCCACAAATTGTTTCAGTACATCTCCCTCCAAAAAGAGGAGCCATATTTAAAATTCCAGCTCACCATTTGGTCTTAGCAGGGTGTCCTACTACCTTCTGCCGCTGCACTCCATTTTCTTTCTCATGATTCCAGGACAGTAAATGGATTCTGAGCATCTCAGTTCAAATTAGATTATTCTAGAAGAATAGCAAGCTGCCTGTTCAGACCATGGCTTTCCTCTGAGCATGTTTCCTCCTTTATGATCCTTTTGGCTCTAATTCTAAAAGCAATCCTCTGTTGAGTTCACAACTGGAAGGAGAAAGCTGCTCCCCTTGTTCAAAATGAGTAGCCTTTCACCCTTGCTTCAAAGTTCTCTCAGAATGACAAGAAGGCACCACCCTATATTTGACATTGGTAGAGGATGTTCAAATATTTCAGTGTACAACCTGCACCCTTTTTAGAAAACATGGCTGTAAACTTTTTTGCACCAATGCCTCTTCTGGATTTGGGGACCTATTGAGTAAAGCATCAATTGAGCTGATTGTTTTTAGGCATTAGCTTTGATTTAAACACCTGAATGTATTCTGATGTGAAAACACATCACGGTAATCCAAAATCCTGCTCTAGCCAGAAACCTGAAATGGGGTTCCAGTTTCACATTCTCACCTCGTATTCTAGGTCTTCTGCTCGCTCAGCCTCTGGAGCAGCTCCTTCCATGAATTCCACAGGGTCATAATATTCATGTGCAATTGAGGGGCTTTGAAGAACAACAAAGGATATGAAGGTAAGTTTTCCTCTTTCCTACTTAGAATTTTCCCCGGCTCTCTTCCCAGGAAACAGGAAGGATTCCCCTTCGCTTCTCCTGTGCAAGTCCTACCAGCCCATCTTCCACTTATCATTACAGTATTTAACGCATGTTAGGATTTTATCTCCTAGATTGATATTATTAGCTATCCTGGGCTGGCTTGTACCAGAAGTGTACAAGATATAAGTACAATCAGTGGTAAATAAAGAAGACAAGAGGACAGCGTGTCTTCCTCAGGAAAATGCTTACAGATCAGGCAGCCCATAGGGCTCCATCCTCATGGCTGGAGGGCTTGGTGGCCGGATCCTGCCTAAATCCATTAAGTGTTCAAAGGTGATGTCTGTCTGGGTTCCACTATCGACCAGGGTTGTGACATCTCCTTGAGAGGTGGCTCCCTCACCACCTCCACCCCGGCTACGAGGACTGCGCCGTAACACCTGGATGACCAGAGGTTCCTTAGAGCACCGGAGAGCCTCAAGCGTCTGCTCCTGCGAGAGACGGGACAGTTCCCGACCATTCACCTAAAGGGGGAAGAAGAGAAAAAGAGGCTGTCAGAACATGCTAAATCCTTGCACTTTCGTCATGTGTCCACTGTGACATCATCCTCAAATATCTTGAGATATTACTCATACAGTACTGGTTCTGCAACTTCCCCAAAATCGTTTTCTCCCTTTTTTTACTGAAACATTTTCTTCCATATAAAGGAAATAGCAGACTGGCCTCCATTTTACTTGCCAAAAGGGGATTGCAGTTCACCTTTTCCTCCAGTCTCTGCTGCAAGAGCCCGTTGTAATAATGGACAAAGAAAGACTGCTGGGTTAACAGCAGGTTCTAAATGTCACAAAAGAGTACCTGATCATTAAATTATTTAAGATATTATCATTGTATTTTCATGTCCATGGAGAGCAAAAAATTGTTAATAGCTTGACATGATGTGGGTATTATGTATCTTGAATATATTTGTGTATGTAATTTCTAAATATGATATCATGAGAACATCATCTCTGGTTTACTCCTGGCTGCTTTCTTTCAGACATACCAGCCCCTTTAAATACATCTATATCATCCCAGTTATATTTGTTTGCAGCAGGTGATTATGGAATTTCAGCAATTGCATTCAGAAAATGTTACATTCAGTCCACTTTAACATTTGCCAATGTCATACTCTCCAAAGATCCTGGATTATCATTCTCACCACCGCCAAACTGATAGTCATACACTGCACTGTTCAGGTCCCTATAGAGCAGGGATGTCAAACTCAATTTCATTGAGGGCCACATCAGCACTGTAGTTGCCCTCGGGGGGGGCTGGGTGGGTGTGGCCAGGGTGGGTGCAGCCTACTGGGTGGGCGTGGATGGAGTGGGTGTGGCCTACTGAGTGAGCATGGCCAGCTCTACATCGTTCACGTCAAGGGTCCCTATGGGGGCCTGGGCAGGAGTGGGACAGATCTGAGGGTCTCTGGAAGAAGGGGGTGGGACTGGGGCAAGTGCCAAGGCATGGTCCATTTCTTCATTCCTCATAAAGGGTGACACCTCCCCAGCATGCACCCAGGAGGCGGGGCCGACACAGCAGGGGCTGGTTCCTCGCTGTTTCTAGATGGCCTTGTGGAGCTAAGTTGTCATTTAGGGTCTTGTTTCAAATGCTAAAAGCACAAAGACAAGCATATGTTCAGACTCCATTATTAGGACAATCTATTTATTCAGTACTTAGCTTCTATAATACAGACAGTCCCTAAATATTATGGGCAATTCATAAATCAAGAAACTCAGTAAAACATATATAAGGATATATCCAATTTTATCCTCAGAACTATCTGTAAAATAGGCTTAACTCTCACGGGTAATAAACCTGAGGCTGGGAATGGAAGCTCATTAAGCCCAATACTCTTTAATTTAAAAGGTTTTTTTTTTTTAGAGAAACAGCTATCTTCACAGTCTATTAATTCTATCACTGTATCTCATGATGCAAACCACGTATTGGAAATTCTATAAGTAACCGTATACATAACCATTTAAAAAGCACATTTTTTGTTTTTTGCCTTCCAACTGTCTCAACTCTATCCTATGTTTCTGGCATGCTGGCTGGGGATTTCTGGGAGTTAAAGTTGCTAAGGTTGAGAAACACTGCTCTAATTCCCTTTTTAAAATGGCTCTGTTCAATTTGTATTATGTATACAGCTACTAAAAACACAGGCAGTGTCAGAACAGTTACTCATGCTTAGTGCTACCGACAGTTCTTATAGAAAGGATCCCTCTCTTGTTCAAGAATGGACCTCAGAGCCTGTTCTCCTGAAAAGGAAGACACATCAGTTTACGTTATCTGAACATCTTACTAGCTGGGGTCATTCACAGGTCTTTAATGTTGCTCCTCTAGTGCCAAATGAAACCACATCTCAAGTGGTTGTTACTGGGAGAATGAGACTTTGGGCTAATTGTCCAAAACCTATTTTGTAGAAAGATTGGGAATGCACCCAATACAGATATTCCTCAACCTACAATCATTTGGTTAGTGACCGTTTGAAGTTACAATGGCACTGAAAAAAGTGACCTTTGACCGTTTCCCCACACTTATGCCCATTGTGGCATCCCCATGTCACGTGATCAAAATTCAGAGGTTTAGTAACTGGTTCATATTTATGATGGTTGAAATGTCCCTGGGTCATGTGACCACCTCTTGCAACTTCCGACAAACAAAGTCAATAGGGATGCATTTAACAATCATGTCATTAACTTAATAACTGCAGTGATTCACTTAACAACTGTGGCAAGAAAGATTGTAAAAGGGGCAAAATTCACTTAACAGCTGTATCGCTTAGCAACAGATATTTGGGGCTCATCACTTTTTGAATAATCAGAGAACCATCCCTAAAAGATCATTCAACATATGATCATCTAACATACCTTTCCCATCCCTGTAAGACCAAAGCACAATCCTATTTGCACTGGGGTTTGTTAGTATCCATTAGGATTGCTGAGATACACTGCCACCATTATCTTCATCATCCTCTAAAATGGCTAAAAACCCAATCTAGTACAAGTCCTTATTGTTGCCAAATATAAACACACAAACCAAGTAAGGGAAAACTGTCCAATTTTTCTTCCCAAATAACAGCTATACAAATCTATCACAAACAGAACTTCTGTTTAGACAGACCTCTTGAGAAAAATCCAAATCAAATGCATCTCCCTAATCAGGCAGACTGTGTTCATCTGTGGCTGACAGTTATACTGATTTATTAGGTGAGCCTGCTTGTGATAGTAGCTTGGTTCATTCATTGTGAAGCCACGGTTGATTTTAATCAGTTTGTTGAAAAAGCTACAGTGAATAGTTCATATATTCTGCTTATCCAGAAATTGTGGTTCACGGACTACAGTGCCCCAACTGAACAAAGCAATATATTCTGTAGCTTCCTCAGAGGGGCATACCTTAGGGCCCAGATGGCTCCCGAAAATCTTGGTGTAGTACTCAGAAGTCTCCAGAAATTGCTACCCTACTGCAATTGTTATGATCTCAGAAGGGGAGAAATTACACAGTGCACATATTGATCAGACCTAATTTTTATCAGACTATAAATGAAATAAAAATTATACTTAATTTTTGACATGGCTTCCTGCCTTGCGTTTTGAAAGTTGACTGACACCATCATGTTATTTAAAGGTCACATTTGGACTTCAGTTCACAAATATTATACATCATTAGACTGACATATTTCACAAACCCAACCATGGGGTGTTTCAGGTGATGGGTCTCCTAGAAGTACAAAACACACTGCTGCTCCATTATAATTGGTTTGAGCTTAAAAAGAAAAGGAGTTGCAGTGAACTGAACCAAAATAATCCTATTTTGTAAGAATAGGCACCTTAAACAACTAGTGGAGTTCATGGTCCATTTAGCCCAACACAGACTGCATTATTTGGCAATGCTCTCCAAGATGACCCTACCGGTGTAGATGGATCCCAAGTCCCATTATTTTTTACACTGGATATATTATCTGGGATTGAAGTCTGAGAATTGGCTGCAGATTGTGAAAATAATAATGTTTGGACTATAAAGGCCAGATAAGTTGAAAGGGCTATTTGAAATGAGCTTTTATGCCTGATCTCCCTGTCTTGAGATGAAAGGAAGATAACAAAAGAGACCTATCTTGCAAGGATTCCTAGTGATCAGATCACTTTCAGTTTTGTTCAGCTCTATAAGCGTGTTCAAAACCTTTTTGTCTTGGTAAGTTAAAAAGAGGACACAATAAAGGAGCCATTAGATTAAAAATCAAAGAAACAAGAGAAGAGCTATATTAGACGTAATCTTGGCTTGCTATTACACCCCATGCCCCTTCCCCAAGCTCCGGTGTCTCTGTACACAAAAAACTGTTGTGTTGTCACTGGAGAATTTTTGTCATGAATTCTGTCCTTGGAGTTTCTCCCAATTCAGTTACTGATTCTTGAAAGTAGATAAAACCTTAATGCAAAACCTCTTCACTTAGGCAATTCTCAAGAATTCTCATATTCTTGAAGTTCCAAGTGCAATGTATTTCTCCTCATAAAGCTCAAACTGATAAATAATGCCTATAGTCCCTCATTTTCCAAACCATGTGGTGGAGTCTGCCTATTTGGGTTCCCAGAAGGCACACTCCCGGCACAACCATTTTCCACATTTGTGTGTGTTCTCTCACTCTCAAACAAAATGCAAGAGATGATGCAGTAACTGTGGGAACTTGCCCAGCCACCACTTCATGATGCGTCACGCACCTGTGAGCTTGTCGTTGTGCAGTGCATCCCCATATGTATGCTGAAGGATTTCACGCATCACATTACCTTTTGCTGAACAGACTGTATGTGTGTGTATGTGTGTGTGTGTGTGCTTGCGCGTGCCTGCATGGGTGCATCTCTCTCCATCACTGCAGCTGCAGTTACCATGGCAACTGAAGTGATTGATACAGGCATCTGCAGCTGGGGAGAAAAAGGAAAATATGGGTAAAGGGGATCAAAAGCAAAGCACATCTCCTTCCTATTCGCTAGCTTCAAACTCTAGAAATGGTGGGTGGGTGGGGAATGTGAATTATCCTCCTTTCTTTTTCTTCTTCCATTTGGGGCTGTGGGAAGTTCAAGGTGAGCAGAAGGAGAATCTAGGAAAATAGATAATTTGCTTGCTTGCCTTGTGGACCACCAGGGGAACATTCCCCAGAGGTGCGGTGGGAGAGTTAAGATCTTAAATAAAAAATAATACAGAAGACTGTGGGGAGAGGGGAGTTCGAGGCTAGTGATAGACCATCAAAGAAGCTACCGGGTAGAGAAAAGAGGTTGCATTAGGGAAAAAAAAACTGTGAGGAAGACAAGTGGATTGGGGAGGGGCTGTGGGTGGGAATGAGGAGGACATTCTTTGCCTAAGGAAGGCCCTGTAGGAATTTATTAATAAATGCCAATCACATTCTTGAGCGTGTTATCCAGCTTCAGCCTTTCAGCTGATGGTTCCCCATAGTTTTCCTTTGTGTGTTTAGTTTTTCTTCTTCTTCCTTTTCTCCAAA